ACCCAAAAATAGTTGGGCTACAGCACAAAATACTCGCTTTAACTGAAACCGGGAAAAACATTGTGTTCGCATGGCTACCTAGCCATGTGGGCATCCGAGGAAACGAGCAGGTAGATCACCTGGCGAAGGAATCCTTTTCCCTTCTGTTGGGATCAACGACGAACATTCTCCCACAGACTGACTTAAAAAATAAAGTAAAAAACTACACCTCCAGTCTGTGGGAGACTCATTGAAAAAAACAACAACATTAAGCCCAAACTGGGACCGCAAAATCATTCGGGCCTCTCCAGAAGAGACGAAGTCATTTTTACTCGATTACGTATTGGACACACGCCCTAACACATAAATACCCCCTTCCGAAGCCGTTCTGCGTCGGATGCGCCACAGATTTTACCATTAGACACATTTTAACCGAATGTCTAGACTTCAGAGAGACCCAAAGGAAATATTTTAGATGCAAAAAATTGCAAGACCTGTTTTCCGTCGCTGATCCCAACAGAATTCTTGATTTTATGAATGCCATTGGTCTTTATGGGAAGTTGTAAATGAAATAAAATTGTTAAAAATGTTATGTTATTTTAAAAATTTATTTCAAATTAAAAATGTATTTACACAGAATTTTAATATTTTAGCATTTTAGCGAACGTGTTGACCCAAACCAGACTGTGAAAATGTGCTGTTGCGAACCGAACCAACTTTTTTAAAGCGGGCTCATATGACCTTGGGCAGTTGCGAGCGCCGTAAAACTTTTACTGATTTCTAACTATGCTTTTCTTTCTGAAGTCTTTTTGGTCATTTTTGTTTCTTTTTCTTTTTCACAACGGCAGGTGAGCATGGTCAAGGTGTTCAGATAGACCAAATGACACTGAGCAAGGCAGATCGCCAACGTTACGGTCAGGGATGGAAGCACAACGCCTTCAACGAGTATGTCAGTGATATGATCTCCCTGCATAGAAGTTTACCGAACCTCCCAGACAGCGAAAAGTAAGCGTCATTACTGATCTTGGGTATAATTTGGTTTGAATAAAGAAGAGCACATTGGCAAGATAAAGGTAATTTATTAGTGTAAGAGAACAGCAAGACAGAAAAAAAGAAAACACAGATTGAAATGTAAAAGGACCTACATAATATGGCCACCATCCATTCCTGATCAATGCTTAACAATAACTGTTTCGTATTGGGATAGTGCTGTAAGTGTCACTCATCAGGAAAAAAATTCACAAAAAATCCATTAGTTGATCTTGTTTCTTTTAACCTCCGCCCAAAGATTATACTGTTTTATGGTTGAAAATGAATAATTTAACAGACGACATATTAAAAGTAAGTATGCTTATGTTTTGTTTACTCGGATTATTTTCTCTGATAGATGCAAAGCTGAAAAATACCACCCGAAAATGCCAGACACAAGCGTCATCATTTGCTTCCACAACGAAGCCTGGTCTGTGTTGTTGAGGACTGTCCACAGCGTCCTGGACCGCTCCCCGCCACACCTGCTGAAGGAGATCATCCTCGTGGACGATTTTTCAGACATGGGTGAGCTGTGATTTAAAAAAACAAACAAAACAAAAACAACCAGGAAGATACAAGCCCACATCCTAGGACACCCTGATCTATATATAAAGATTTTGAAATCTTGCTCTCACTGAAAAAAAAGAAGGCACACGAGAAAGAGTTAGACCATCACTTGAAAAATATAATGCATAAGAGGCAGAATTAGACCAAGAATAACTAGCTTAGTTAACTTGAACAGGTTCGTGGCAGGAAAAGATTAGGATAACATGGGACTCTTAAGAGCATCCCCACAAAGAAAAGAAAGGCAAACCATGATCGCCGATGTTTGTTTCAGACCTGGCACCTGAGAAGAGGAAGCTTTTATCGAGAAACAGAGGTCTGATTCAGTTATGTTCTTTCTTTCGGATCTAGTTGTCACATCGTAACTGTCTTTCGGTTGAAACAAGAATATATTCCAAGGAAGCAACAATGTATATTTTCATTTTCATTCTTGATTCTGATAACACTTAAACTAATTTCGTGTTTGTCTTCTGTTGCTTCAAATGGTCTTGTCCACATGAACACGAAAAGCTGGACCTTTCCTTCGAAAGCTATTTAGATCAAGAACAAAAACTATGTTGATTGATCAACCAACCTATATGACGTGAAAAAGCCATGTTAACCGTTTTGCGTTCTTTATAATTGTCTCATTGAGTTTCAGAAGAGCTAAATTTCTCTCAGTGATTTATGCCGGCCGCGGGACTGTCAAACTAAAATCCAAAGATTTCACTAGCCGGAGGAAATCGCATACACCTTCGTTTTCTTCTACAAGCGTCTACTTTTCCAAGAATCTTTACCCTATATTGTTGATTTGTAATCCACGCAGCTCACCTGAAGCAGCCCCTCCTGGACTATGTAGCTAAACTGCGTATTGTGCGCGTGGTCCGGACCACCAAACGTGAGGGTCTGATCAGAGCCAGGCTGCTCGGGTTTGCCAACATCACAGCACAGACAGCCACGTTCCTTGACTCTCACTGCGAGTGTACGGACGGTGAGTTCGAGTCTTACGTCACTTTACCCACAATTTCTGGAAGGGGAGGGAGGAGGGTGGGGGGAGGGGATAGATTTGGAAGTGGAATGGATTCTATTACGGGAGGAGGGGATTTTCCGAGGAAATCATTAAATGGGACTAACAGATTAACAAAGACGTCTTTATCATCGGCTGTGCCCCTGCAAAGCTGCGAAGGCTGGGCAACAGATCTTCATAACAATCCTGCTCCATCCAGTCTGTAATTTAGAGGATGACTTTCATTTGTGGTCACCAGCGAGACTTAAAATGTCTAATTATTCACATTATTTAAATCCATGTCTTTTTCTTTTGTGTGCAATGTGTGATGTTTTAATGTTCTGTCGATTTAACAAATAAAAAACCCAAACAAAACAAAAACAATAACATAATAATAATGAAGATCATTTCTATAGCGCCCACTCCCGTGTAAACACAGCTCTAGGCGCTTTACATAAATGCATGTACGAACAATATTCACGCATGCAACACACACACGCACACACACACACACAGTCATACACACACACAAACACAAACACACACACACACACACACACACACACACACACACACACACACTCACGCACACATTACACGCACACATATGCACACACATGCTCGCCAAACACACACACACACACACACACACACATGCACGCCAAACACACACACACACACACACACACACACACACACACACATACACACACCCATCTACTTGCTTATCACACGAGCACGCTTAGACATTGTTACGAAATGAGCACATACACATACATAATAGAATAATGTACACAATGCAATTCGCAAAATATATAAATGGAAACATAGTCATTTACATAACATTGTACTGAACATGAATCTACTGACATAAAAATGATGTAATTTAATGTGTCTTTAAATATTTTAAAAAAAATTAGACTCTGATGCTGTATGTCTCAAGGGTTGGGGAAGAGAGTTCCAAACTGATGGAGCAAGGTGGGCAAACGATCTTTCAGCTAATTTTTATCACCTTTCCTAGGAACTCTTAACAGAAGAAGAACAAAAACCAAACCGTTGTAGGTATCTTTACAATTAGTGCTACGAACAATCCAAATTTTAAAGTTGCTTACACACTAGCAGTAATAATTTTTAAAAAAACAACCCCACCCTGCTCTGTATTTGAACCAGGGCCATCTACTCTAGAAGCATGTGGTGTCAATTGATTTCCCGCTGAGCCCTTTAATTTCGAAATACTGCTGATGCTCTAAAGTATGGTCTCGAACTTAAGCATTTCAGACTTTTTCCAAAGTGAAACTTTAAACTTCTGCCTATGCATGTCTTTGACCCATTAAGATCGTGGTGTTGTTAAGGGCAAGAAGGGAGAGGAAGGGGGACTCAGATAATATGGAGCTTCAAGTACCCCTTTAATTCTCGTTACCGAACACTTTGTTGTGCTGTACTCCCCGGAGCGGTGCTACTGACGGAAGTGTCTTTAGGCCATTCCCAAAGGGTGGACATTAGCATCTCGAGTTCTTATGCACAGTAGAATTGTAATTGTAAATGGGCTGATGCATCAATGTCATGCTCATAATTGTGCCTGAACAGCAACAGGGAACTGCTGCTTTTTCTTTCCTATTCCTTACAATCGACATCTTTCCTCTACTTCTTTTGGATGTGTGTCACACTCTTGTGACCAGCTATTTCCAGGGTGCCTTGATAGTCGAAGCAGACTTTGTGCTATTGAAGCTAAAGAGGTGAGCAGAGTAAGTCTGATTCCCTGTAAGGACTTCTCTGTTGACATCCACCCCTTGGCGCTCATATGACCTTATGCTGTTGTGAGCGCCGTAAAACCTCTGCTAAAGCAAAAGCTTGTTGTGCCGTGTGTGGGCAAAAATGTTTGGCTATTTATTGCTAGGAGTGTCGTTTTCAAACACTGAGACTCTTCCGATTAATGAATATTATGATGTGAAGTTTCCTTGAGTTGGACCAATTAAAACTGAGCTGTTAAATCGTACGATCACTTCTGACCTACAGGCTGGCTGGAACCACTGCTTGATCGTATCGCTTTGGACGACAGGACAGTGACAGTTCCAGTAATCGATACCCTCGACGACAAGACTCTCAAATACAACTTCACAGGGATCTCGGTAGGCGGTTTCACTTGGACTCTCGTCTACAGCTGGCACGCGATCCCAAAACACGAGTTAGACCGTCGTAATTCCAGTATCGAGCCCATCAGGTCTGGTCTATATTTTTACTGTTGCTTTCATAATCATACTACAATATATCACTGGATTTTAAAAAGTTTCTTTACCATAATATGATAAATTGTAACCCAAAACAAGATACACAATATAATTCTTCACACATGTATAATCCTAAGAACAAATTGATCCGCCATGTTACTTTCCTTACATTGGTCCCCATGTGTGGAGAGACTCTAAATATTCACATTTACCCC